ATAAATAACTGGTGATAATATTTTTAAGACTTACTTGTCCACAAGGAAGGTCATCCACTTTGCATCTAAGTAGTTCCTCAAATATTCGCGCATGCTCTGTGATTGTCATCTATACGTAACTGGATCTCTAACTCTATTGGCTAATAATGAATGGCGGTCAGTTCAAATTCCACGAGGTTCTATGGGACGAGAGACGGGAGAAATCCTGAAGGAGAGAAAACTCAGAATTGTAGCTTTACGTCCACTGTCAGGGAGTGAGACAGAGTTGTGTGGTTACTATAGAGACCTTAATGAATCACTGGCAGCAGCAATAACATTTCTTTTTGACATTAGTTTTCTTTGCACATCACAATTTCCCTCTGAACTAATAAAAGTATTTCTCATTCTGATTTCATATTTCCACACGTTGTTACTGGAAACTGATGAAAGGCGCTGATATGCCAAGTGCAGCATATTTAATTTTTTAAAAGACCACATTGTAAAGTGTTTTTCAAACAAAAACAACCGTGTTGTTATTTCAATCATCTCCGGTGGACAACGGGACTAGGCTGTAGGTGGATACTGGCAATATGACGGAAAGAAGGAGAACTTATCCCTGGAGACTGTGTTGGAGCTTTAAACTGAAGCACGGTAGTTTGCCTGAAAAAGTTAACCGTTTTTGTCAAGACTTTCTGTCTGGAATGGTTTTAAAATCAGTTCTGTTCATTTCTAAATAAATTATGAAGTACAGGTAAATTCCGAGCAAGTGGACAAGCTAATAGCTAGTTCTGGGTTGCTGCCAGTTCAGAACAACTCCCAGGGTTTCCCCCGGCGCTTTATAAGCCTGGCAAGCCGCCAGACTTTGCTTGGTCCCCCGCCAGGCCAAGCGTCCAACCTTCCATCCCCCATCCCCCGCTGTCACAGACGACACAAGGTAGCGCAATGAACCGCGCACCTCTCCTTCGCTGTCACGAACGGGGAACAGTAGCAGAACTATCCGTGCACACGCCCCCACCGCTCTCACGGTCCGGTCCGCCGGGCTTATCAAGTTTTCTGGGGGGAAACCCTGAACTCTTATCTCAAAAATAGCTTATTAGTTCATATAAATGTTATTAAATTAACCCGTACACCACCATTCATTTTATGATCCACTGGCAATCCAGCAGAAATGTTGTGATATTTAGAGGCGCTGCGCACTGATAGGCAAACCAGGCAATCACTCTGCCCCCCCCCCCCCCCCCCCCCCAGCAACAAGAGGGCCCCAGGGGGCCGACACACTTTGAAGAAGTGAGACACAGAAGAGCTGTCATGTATGAGCAGAGAAACAGCAGCATGCTTCCTGCTTCCATGCATCGACACAGATCACTTTGCTTGGGGCCCCGAGGCAACTTTGCAGCACCACTGGTGATAATCCTACAGAAAAGGTCACAGGCTGCACCAAAGACCACTGCTGCCATTTGTGCTGCAAATGACTCAGTGAAAACTTGAAAATGACCAAATAATAATGCAAAAGTCAAAGTTTTGAGAAAGGTGTTAAGAGTAAAAATCACATTATTATTCTTGTTTATCATAGCAGAAACCAGAGCTTTCTGCTTTTGTAATAAATAAAAAAAGGGTTGTTACAAAATTTATGTTTGAATTTCTGGTAATAGCAGCACTAGCACCCCTGACATTTTCTTCAGATATGTTCTAGTCACTCACAAAGGATATTTCTGCAGATAAAAAGAAAAATGCAAAGACGTGAAAGCAGTGTGTGGTGCAACGTTCGGGAGAGATGGGGTCACAGCAGGTGTGTGTGTGTGTGTGTGTGTGTGTGTGTGTGTGTGTGTGTGTGTGTGTGTGTGTGTGTGTGTGTGTGTGTGTGTGTGTGTGTGTGAAACTGACCGTCGGGATTGGCGCAGATGAAGACTCGGACGCTGCGGCCGCTGGGAACGTGGTGCGGTGGCAGCGCACTGATGTTTCCGCTGACGGCCGCCCTGCGCAGCGCCGACTCCCGTGGGCAGGGCTGCCTGTTCCCCACTCCCGACGGCCACATAGGAGGCGACTTCCAGCGCGGCTGCACACACACACACACACACACACACACACACACACACACACACACACACACACGCACACGCACACGCACACACACACACACACACACACACACACACACACACACACACGCACACGCACACACACACACACACACACACACACACACACACACACACACACACACACACACACACAGAAAGAGAGAGAGAGAGATAGGGTCACATTAATGCACCCAGGTGTGCAGACGCAATGTTATTTTTTTGCGCGCAGATTCATCTGATCCATCCACTCACACACAAACTGGGTTTTAAACATAAAACATGACGGAAAATGCTTTAGATGTTATAACTTTTTACATAGATCAATTAAAAACGATCAAAATGGTATATAAATATGTATCCATGTTTGATCCAAACAGCAAGAGCCCAATAAAAACCAGTTTAACACCCGGCAAAAACCAAGTTAGGATGAATCTGACGAGTCTTTTCAAAACAAAAGCATGAGACAGAGCATTCATGTGGATATGATAATAGGATCTTACGCACAGCCTACTACCGTCACGGTGCATGCGTAATTTGTATACATGTCCTTGGACGCATTCATGAATTTTCATGCCACTGTGGGACAAACAGACAAAACAGAACGAGACGAGACAGAAATCGGATGAGATGAGCAAAAGGAGGCAAGCATCAGTCGTGTTCCCACCCCGGAGAAGATGCTTGTAAAGGCGAATAACCGCTAAGTAAGGTTATTCCGCCGGGAGCAGATGTCAAGTCGCTGGTTTTCCGGAGTTGGGTCTAGATCTTGAAAGCTTTGTTTCACAGACGGAAAACCTCGAAAAAGACAACAAAAAGCGGGGGGAAAGTTGGGTAGTCCACTACTCAGCCCTACACCAAATCCTTAAAGCAGACAACTAGTGTAAAAAAATAACATCACAGAGGCGCCGCATCCACTGAGTCTACTAGTGATGCTGGAGACAGACAACAGGATACTTCTTGTTGCTCACATTCATTCGCTTCATTTCGCGTCTTTCGAAAATATCCAAGCTCGGAGGACGGGAAAAGGTGTTTGAAAACGCCCATTAGAGTGGCCGCGACCGAGGCACGGCGGCGAGAGACGGGAAGAGGGTCGCCGTGAGTCCGTGTGCTCCCCGCGGCATCCTGCTGCTTTCTGCCAGCAGACTGAGCAGCTCAGAGAGCGCGAGATTATCAAGCGCGCGCTTACACGCGCGCAACTACCTGTGTGGCTTTTCAGAATACAAGACCATTTTGAAATATCATTGGTCGAAGCTTTAATTTTTAGAAATTTATATAAATATTTATGTATAAAACAAACTACTTGTTAAACTTAGAGAGTTTTATGTTAGTGCCGTTCAGCTTTAAACTCGTTCAGGCTTCACACACTGAGGTAAAAACTTTACGTTGAAAATACCAAATTTCCGGCGGTCGGTCGAAGTGGAGCACTGGCGTGAGATGCTGAGGATGTTCGTTCTCTCGCCCGTCGGGGAGGGGGCTCACCCAACCACTATTAAATTGCAATGGACCGCAAAGTCAGCACGGTGTTGCCCAAAATGACGCTACAACCGTTTCCACTCATGCGCCTAACTGGACATTAGCATCGTAAAGTGTTGGTTGGTCTGACTTCTTACTCAGCAGACGTCGAATTAAGTTTGAAACAACATACATTTGCACTAGCTGACTATTCAGTTGACCTATAAGTGGTCTTGACTAAAATTTAACAAGTTTCTGACCAAAATAGTCTAAATCAGCAGAAAAGCTACGCCAAGGGTTCATTGACTGAATATCAGCTTATTACATTTTTTATTTTATTATCCCAGACTCTAAGTAAGTATCGTGGTTGCAACTACATTTGAAAGCCAACAAATGGCTAGCAGAAACGACATTTAGGAGAAAAAAATGGCCCATGCTCCTAATGAAATACATATTTTATGGTTCACATATTCACTTAATAAGGTTTAGTTTAGGAAAAACAATGCTTACACTCGCACTCAGTCGTTTTCTTTACCCCCATCATAGTCCAGGGATCCCGGACTTATTACCATAATAGCGAAAAAACTAGACACATAGCCATTTATTACTCAAAAACAAGATATCTTTCTTGTTCATAGTGATGCAACTGGCTCTTTGAAGGGAACTGTTCATTAGTCGGTCGCTTACCTCCTAGAGCTGTTCAAATGAGCCAGTCTTTTGAACGAAGTAGGGTGGGGGGTTGGTTCGGCAAAATGTCCCGCTGATATTTGTCAGAGCGCTCGGCGTGGGGGGCTTACTAGAAGACAAGATGAACGGTTCTCTACAAGGACTCTGCTCTCATTGTTCACTTTGAAAACCCCTTCAAAAGATTTGATTCATTCGTCATCACTAGTCCGTACAAAAGTGAAGACGTGCGGCATCCAAAACAATTCTTTCAAAAACCTCTTACCAAGGTGGAGATTTGAGAGTTCTCCATTGTCAGCATTTGCGTGTGAACGTAAATAACTGGGGTTTTAGATTTGGCAACATCACTGCCCGCGACAAAACTGCTCTGACTTCACACGTGCGACAGTTACACTCGCTTATTTTTACAAGATCAATTACCGTACTATGTAAAACACCACCTAGTTATTCTACATCCAAGATGCCAAAGACGCAGAAGATTTGGGGAACTACCGCCACAGGCTTGGCATGTCTATGAATGTGTTTCACAATGATGCAAAGAGTTCAAATGAAGGCAAGTGAACTTCTTCGGTTTCTTGAAGACGTTTCGCTTCTCATCCGAGGAGCTTTGTTAGTTCTGGATGAGAAGTGAAATGTCTTCAAGAAACAGAAGAAGTCCACTTGCCTTCATTTGAACCCTTTGGATTACCATGACACCGCTGGAGATAGGCACCAGCAACCCCCCCCAACCAGGACCCCCACCCCCAAGGCTGTCATCTCGGTGGATAAGCTTTATGTGGACAATAAACTTTACAAGGAGCGAGGAGTGACAGACTGGCTGTATTAGCCCAACATCAGGTCAGACATGTATTATTCTTATCAGGATTCACTGGGTTTGAGCACGTCAGGATTAAACAGCTGCTAAATCCGTATTCTAGATGATATCACCTGTTCATACCCCTATCACCTTTTCTTTTTAGCTCTTTGTTCTTCTTTAACCTGTATAATTCTGTCATGTATGACCCTACATGGACAAGCGGGTTCAGAAAATGGATGGATGGATGGATGGATTACCATGACCTGGATGACTGAAAATCTTCACCAGCACGTGTTTCACTGGTATTTTTAGCTGAAAACAAGGGGATGTGCACCAAAGTTTTTTCTCTAGTTGGGCGGGAGACTATATTTGGTTACACAAAACCTAGCTACATGTGTACATCAGGGTTTGAATTAAAGAGGAGGTATGGGGAGCCTGGCTCCCCCGGAAGCCCTCAACTGACATACCCAGAAGGGTGGACCAAAAATGATCCCGTATCCCCTCTGAATAAAGTTTTAACAGAAGTGTAATTCTTGTCAAAATTGGTAATATATGGTCAAAGGAATCTACATTGCAAAGAAGATATATCACGAAATCTCATGATGCAACCACAAAAGCACTTTCAAAAATCTAAGTTTTTAGTAAGAGGGACTTGTGTCCCTGTCCGTTGACAGGTCGGCAGTGAAAAAGGAGGAGAAAGGGGGGTTTGGATTCATTGCTTTATCGATAAATGTACCTCTGCTCTGCAGCCTCTGGTTATTCGCACTAGACGTTTAAGTGCATTGGACTTGTACTAAATGGAATTGATTACTGTGCTGCTCTTGTGAGTGGAGGAAACGCTGAACCATATATTTTTCTCCCCTCACTCTCAGCATTCAAATATTTCCTTGAATCTGAAAAGCCGCCTGTGTCACTTGAACACAAACTTTAGAATTTTTTTTACACTGTGTAAACAAACAATACACAATAAACATGTAAATGTCTTGAGCAAGCTGCTAGTGTGATTGCATTTTCACAGACAAATTGTCCAAAATCCATACTGTAAACAAGAAAAGCAATGGGTGGATCACAATATCTTAAACAACCAAACAGTTGCTGTTAGACATGAACTGTACAAATCTACAGTAATATACAGGTTTAACTTGTCTGTCTTGGTAAACTATAATGCATAAATAAACAATATTTGTCCAATGTAAGTAGATTTATCATTGGATGACTTATTATCGCAGGTCTTGAGGATTATTTGGCCTTGCAGGCTCACACCGACTCATTTAAATCAGCCTGCAGGGCTCACGTCAGAACAAAATCGAGGTTCCGGAAAGCTCAACCGGAACACCAGGGACCGGATTGTTGTTCCCAACGGTGTTATGACCTTTCCTTACTTGATTGTTCCGCTCCCTCTCACCATTCTCAGCCAGCTAATCATGGGAGCAGAGCTACTCTGCAGTCTTTTCTAAGGATGTGCTTTTACAGTGCTGGGTGGGGTGATGATAAGACACTCAAAAAGTATGCTTAAGAAAAAGTAAAATTTGCCACAAAAATGTGTGTGTGTGTGTGTGTGGGGGGGGGGGTGTAGAATTTTTGAAATGTTGTGCAGCTGTGCCGTTTTTGCCTATATAAGAGAAATAAATGGGAGTTCATTTTTTCACCATGCTATTCATACATTTATAAATGTTACCAACCAAATATTTAAATTAGAGTAAAATATTTCCTTTACAAATAAAATATTTAGGTCAGACCAACATTTTTTTTATATTTAGCTGGAAGCTAAATATTAAATAGTTAATTTTGGAAACCAAATACTTAATTTTGGAGCAAAATATTTTGTTTGTAAACAAATCTTTTGCTCCAAATTCAATGTTTAGTTTTTAAATCCAATATTTATTTGACAAACTAAATATTTGTGTCAGACCTAAATATTTAGTTAGTAAAATATTCAGCTGGGATCTAAATATTTCTTGTAAAATAAACATTTAATTTAGAGCTAAATATTTAGTTTTTAAACTAAATGTTTAGCTTCTAATTAAATATTTAGTTAGTAAATAATTTTTTTTACTAACTAAATATTTAAGTCTGACCTAAATATTTAGTTAGTAAAATAAATATTTAATTCTAAATAAAATATTCACCTTGCTAACTAATTAGTTGGGATCTTTAACATTTATAAATGTATAAATATGGTGAATATATGACTTTGTTTTATGATAGGTTAAATAACCCAAAACACTGCTGTTAAGTTATGACTCTTTGACTTTACATACAGCTGCTGTCCAAAATTACTTTAAGCGAATGTGAGTCACTGTAATGACGAGATGTGATGTGTCACCTGGTGGACACACAGAAACAAAGTACAGACTGACTGTTCACTTGGCATCCACACACACATGAAAAGACAAAGAGAGAAACATGCTGGTGAAGGACGGCTGTTTCCTTCAAAACAGCTGGAAAGATGCCGAGTGGGAGGAAAGGAAGACAATCTGAAGGCTCTATTCCTGTGTGTTACCACTTGGTAACAGGAAATTAACTCTTCAGATAAAATGCTTCCTGAACTAGTTTTCTGACTCAGAGAGACAGAACTACCACTGATTTGGTTTTAACGGGATAGTTCAGATCATTTGAAGTGAGTTTCAACTGAAAGGTTATGAAAACTTAATGTCTTAACAATCCTAGGTTTCTGTTTGAACAACTTCAGTTTGGAGATGTTCTCCAAGAGGACTAGTGAACTAAAAGTTCAGTGAACAGACAAAAGTGTATTGCTGATATCAAATCTCCAGTGATTAATAGCAGCCAGTGTGTGCTTTTATCCTCTTAAACCTACTTATGGACATTAAAGTTTATTGTTACATATAAACATAAACATCAGGAGTGACATATAGCTCTTCCAGTGCATCCTGGCTTCAGGTTGTCCAACGTTTCTGCCAAAACATCCATCCATTGTCTGAACCCACTGTGTCCACGCAGGGTCGCGGGGGGGCTGGTGCCTATCTCCAGCGGTCAATGGGCAATCAGGCGGGGTACACCCTGGACAGAGAGCCAGTCCATCGCAGGGCAAAACAGAGACACACAGGACAAACAATAATGCACACACACTCACCTAAGGACAATTTAGACCGACCAGTTAACCTAACAGTCATGTTTTTGGACTGTGACTAAAGTCATCAGTAGCATTTTTTTACTGTGTGGGCGTCGGAACGAGCCC